CTTAAGTGTTATACATACAAAATAAATAAATTTAAATCTACTTAATAAATATATATATATATATATATGATGGGATACGAATTCTACGAAACTAATTTCAAAAATCCAACCGTCAAACTTGTTTGTATATCCTTCAAGATCGCATCAACAAAAAACAAACATTCAGAGATTAAGTAACGACACAAAATTTTTCGATAATTATCAATGAAAAATCACAATTTAACGGTTATTTTAACTCTGATTTTGATGATTTTTTACAGCTACACTCTTTGACCATATACGAATACAATAAATGAACTCGATCTTCAATTTAAAATATTTACACTAGTGGATACTACAAAATCTTATGTTATACTTAATGAAAGTATGAATAAACTCTCAAGTGTTAGTGAATATATTATTTTGATGGGATACGCATTCTACAAAACTAGTTTCAACGATACAACCGTTAAACATGTTTGTATATACTTCGAGATCCCATACGCCAAAAATTGCAAAACACAAACATTCAAAGATGAAGTAACGAGACAATTTTTCGACGGTTATAAACGAAAAATCACGATTTAACAGTTATTTTAACTCTGATTTTGATGATTTTTTACAGCTACACTCCTTGACTCTATATGAATACAATGAATCAATTTGATCTTCAATTTAAAATATTTACACTAGTGGATACCACAAAATCTTATGTTATACTTAATGAAAGTATAAATCAACTCTAAGTGTTAGTGAATCTATCGTTTTGATAGGATACACATTCTACGAAACTAATTTCAACAATCTAACCATCATACTTGTTTGAATATGCTTCAAGATCGCATACGTTAAAAATTGAAAAAAAAACAAACATTCAGAGATCAAGTAACGGGACAAAAAATTTCAATAGTTATTTTTAACTCTGATTTTGATGATTTTTTACAACTACACTCCTTGACCTTATATGAATACAATGAATGAATTCGATCCTTAATTTAAAATATTTACACTAGTGGATGCCACAAAATCTTATGTTATATTTAATGAAAGTATGAAAAAACTCTTAAGTGTTAGTGAATCTATCGTTTTGATAGGATACGCATTCTACGAAACTAATTTCAACGATCCAATCGTCGAACTTGTTTGTATATGCTTCGAGATCGCATACGCCAAAAATTGCAAAAAACAAACATTCAGAGATCAAGTAATGGGACAAAACTTTTTGACGGTTATCAATAAAAAATCACGATTTAACGGTTATTTTAACTCCGATTTTGATGATTTTTTATAGTTACACTCATTGACCATATACGAATACAATGAATGAACTCGATCTTCAATTTAAAATATTTACACTAGTGGATACCATAAAATCTTATGTTATACTTAATGAAAGTAATAAACTCTTAAGTGTTAGTAAATCTACTGTTTTGATGGCATACGTATTCTACAAAACTAGTTTCAACGATCCAACAGTCAAACATGTTTGTATATACTTCGAGATTGCATACGCAAAAAATTGCAAAAAACAAACGTTCAGAGATCAAGTAACGGGACAAAACTTTTCAACAGTTATCAACAAAAAATCACGATTTAACGGTTATTTTAACTCCGATTTTGATGATTTTCACAACTACACTCATTGACCATATACGAATACAATGAATGAGCTTGATCTTCAATTTAAAATATTTACACTAGTGGATACCATAAAATCTTATGTTATACTTAATGAAAGTATGAATAAACTCTTAAGTGTTAGTGAATCTATCGTTTTGATGGGATACGCATTCTACGAAACTAATTTTCAACGATCCAACCGTCGAACTTGTTTGTATATGCTTCAAGATCACATACACCAAAAATATAAAAAAAACAAACATTCAGAGATCAAGTAACGGGACAAAACTTTTCGATGGTTATCAATGAAAAATCAAGATTTAACGGTTATTTTAACTCCGATTTTGATGATTTTTTACAGCTACACTCATTGACCATATACGAATACAATGAATGAACTCGATCTTCAATTTAAAATATTTACACTAGTGGATACCATAAAATATTATGTTATACTTAATGAAAGTATGAATAAACTCTTAAGTTTTAGTGAATCTACTGTTTTGATGGGATACGTATTCTACGAAACTAGTTTCAACAATCCAACCGTCAAACATGTTTGTATATACTTCGAGATCGCATATGCCAAAAATTGCAAAAAAACAAACATTCAGAGATTAAGTAACAGGACAAAACTTTTCGACAATTATCAACGAAAAATCACGATTTAACGGTTATTTTAACTCCGATTTTGATGATTTTTTTACAACTACACTCCTTGACCCTATATGAATACAATGAATGAACTCAATCTTCAATTTAAAATATTTACACAAGTGAATACTACAAAATCTTATGCTATACTTAGTGAATGTATAAATAAACTCTATGTGTTAGTGAATCTATCGTTTTGATAGGATACACATTCTATGAAACTAATTTCAACGATCCAACCGTCAAACTTGTTTGTATATGCTTCAAGATTGCATAAGCCAAAAATCGCAAAAAACAAACATTCGGAGATCAAGGAATGGGACAAAACTTTTCGACGGTTATCAACGACTAATCATGATTTAATGATTATTTTAACTCTGATTTTGATGATTTTTTACAGCTACACTTGTTGACCCTATATGAATACAATGAATGAATTCGATCTTCAATTTAAAATATTTACACTAGTGGATACCACAAAATCTTATGTCATGATGATCGATGAAATTTGAGGATTTTGTAAAAGGAATAACATGCAAGCTTTGAGTTCCATTGGCAAGGTTTAAACTTTTGAGAAAAGCTTCACAACCTTGAAAACAAAAACTCTTTCATTTTGCATATCCTTGGACATTTAATATTTTGTAATAGACTAGTAGTGTATGGATGTTTGTTCATTAGGCTCTTATTTTTTAGTGAAGATGTAGTACTTAAACGACAAATGTGTTTTAAAGCCGAGCAGTTTTAATTACACCAGTAGATTTCACTTGCTGATATCCTCAAGCCCAGACTTCCCTAGAGCTTCTCCTTTCTTGATGACTTCATCATCATAGGTGTATGCTTTGGGATCCACTACCATGACTTTGTAGGCCAAAAACCTCGGTTGAGTTTGTGGACGACGGCTCTGAAGATTTGAAGAAGTCAAGACAGCAAATGGAAGTTGGATATGCTAGAACATATTTAGCTAATAGTAACATTGCTTAGGAGGAGTCGAGTGAAATGTAGACCCATCATTCTAGGATAGCTGCCCTAGTCAAAGATGTAAAACTATTGAGCTCATTCTAATGTAATTTTCAACATTTACTGAAATGAAAATGACTTCTTCAATTCACTTTGGCTTGCATTCTTTTCTTGAGACCCAAATATGATAAGCATAAAACTTACTTTAGATTTCATGCAAAACTCATACTTCTTCTATGTAGCAATCCCTAACATCCCACAAGGTTGGGTGATATTTTTTTAAGAACTTAGCGTTGATTGGATACTTCTGTAAGTCTCCCTCCACATCTGCTAAGTAATATCCACCCTTGTCCAATACTTGGTTAACAATGAAAAGACCTTCCTAAATTAGGCTCCACTTCCGAAAGCCTCTAATTTGAACTCCCAAAGGCAAAATAGCTTTCCAAACCAATTCTCCTTTCTTGAAGGTCTTTAATTTCACCTTATTGTTATATGCACGAACAACAACTCTTTTCCCCTCTTGAATTTTGTCCAGAGCTTCAATTCGGGCTATCTTTAGATCTTCAACTCCTTGACACATAGCCTGAATATATTCTTCACTGTGTAGCCCGAACTGGTTCTGAATCCTAATAGAACTCACATTGATCTCTATGGGGAGTACATCGTCTTACCCGAAGGTTAGAGCAGAATGAGTAGTTCCAGTTGCTGCCCTCTTGGAAGTTATATAAGCCCTTAAAGTATCTCCTAACTTCTTATGCCATCTTTCTGAACTTTTGGCCACCATTCTTTTGATAATGTTCACCAGGACCTTGTTACTGGTTTCTGCTTGGCCGTTTGACTGGGGATAGTAAGGACTAGACTGAACCATCTTTATTTAAACTTACTTGCAAACTCCTCTACTTCTTTTGAAATAAAAGATGGCCCATAGTTTGTGACAATTGTCTCGGGAACTCCAAATATGTGTAAGATCTTGGTTTCAATGAACTTCTTGATTGCAGTTAAAGTGATAGTCTTCACAGCTGAGGCTTCTACCCATTTGGTGAAATAATCTGTTGCCACGTTTTTTGAACGTGTGTCCTTTGCTAGAGACTGGGTAAATTAGCCCGATGAAATCCATTGCCTATCCTCCAAAGGGCCATGATTTGACTACGGGGTTCAAGGGTATTGATGGCACATGTTGGCGCAATCCATGTTTTTGGCATTCTTCACACCCTCGGGTGTAAGCTTTGCAGTCTTTCTCCATCTCGAGCCAGAAATAGTCATATCTTCTAAGCAACCATCTCATCTTAGTTCTAGCCTGGTGTGCTCCACAGATTCCTTCATGTACTTCGGCCATTACCCTCATTGATTCTTCCTGGCCTAAGCACTTCAGCAACAGTCCATCTGGAGTCTTCCTTAGCATAGATTTATCCCACATGACACATTTAGTTGCTTGTTGTCTATTTTTCTTACTTGTGGGGAAGGATGGATCCTTCAAATACTGAATAATAGGTGTCCTCCAATCTTTCATCTCCATTTCTTCAGTCATTATATCTAATCTGAATCCTCTTTCAAAGATAGAAGGAGGATTTTTTTTGTGAACTTCTATATCCCCTTCAAACTTCCTTTTTTGGATCTATGCTCTAGAAGCTAATTGTGTCATTTCATTGGCAATTGCATTTGATTCTCTAGGGATGTAGTTTACTGATATTCCAGTGCCTTAATAACTTAACAATTGAGTGGTCGCTAAGTAATAACTAGCCATGGTGATGTGTCTGCACTTGTATTCTCCATTTAACTGATTAATCACCAATTCTGAATCACCAAACACCTCAACTTCAGTTGCCCCCAACTCTATTAGGATTTCCAAGCCAATTATCAATGCCTCATACTCCGTCCGATTGTTGGTAGTCTCCTGATAATCTAGGAGGAATAAGTAACAGTGTTGAACCCCGTTGAATAATAGCCATCCCAGCTTCAGCAGCATTTTGGGTACAAGATCCATCAAAATACAACTCCATGGAGTGATCTAAAGGCTGGATATCCTCTTTACCTTCTGCTGAACCCATTCTTCCCTGCCCGACAGGGCCTTGCTTGGTGGAATCCAAAGGTTAGCCACCTCCAGAGTTCCAGGGATGTTGATAAGCTCATCTTCTGCCTCTTGATGCTCGACTAAGAAAAAAAAAAAGCCTAAAGGGATGACTTGTTAAAACATACGGGACCATTTGTTGTAAAACCCTTGATAGTTTTCTATCTTCAGTTTTTACAGCTTCTCTGGACGCAAAGGAAGGAACGAGGGGAGAGAGGAAAAAGAAGTGAACGGAAAAGAAAGGGAAAGTAATGGCGAGGAATTTAGGGGTTTTGGTACGGCAGTTGCTCCCTAATTCTAATCGTGTCAAAAATCACACCATGGAAACCCTAATCCTAGCACCATCTTCGCAACCCAAACCATTCTCCAATTGCTTCAACTCCCCAAACCCTCGTTTCCTGCATTCAGGTTCAGGTTCAGCTACTACTCCCTCTTTCTCTGCTACTTTCTGTTTTCTTTTATTTATATTTTGTACAACGAGATTCGGATCTAAGGGCTCGGAAATACCAAGTGGCTCCTACTTTCTGTTTCTATATTCGCAATTTTTATTGTTTTATTTCTTATTTCCAGGTCGCTCAAGAATTTGCAGCCTTTACTCAGAGGCCCGATATCGTCAAGTAATGTTTGAACTTGAAGGTCAGTATCTCTACGGTTTTAATTGATTAATTTTGATGCAACTTGTATATAGTTTCATCAAGTTTTTCTCCTATTCATTGACAATTTGACATAAATATTTCGTTTAGATGTCCTATTGGAATCTAAACCGTCAGTAATTTTTTTCTTCTCGGCACCCTCCTCTGCATTCTGTAAGTTCCAAAGAATTTACCCCCTTTTTTTTTAATCAATCAAAGTTAAATACAGCCCCCTTCAACTTGATCATTGTGTAGTAATTATTCTTTGTGCAGGCGCCCTGGTTTCTCCAGTCCTTCAAGATTTGATCGAACGATTTCCACACGTAAAAGCGTACAAGATTGACGCTTCTAAGGTGCGCGATATTGCAATCTGGTCTTCCGTTAACTTGGATTATTGTTTTTTAATCCTTTAAAACGTTCGAGACCTTATTGTTTAGTGTTGGAATCCCTCTTCTAAGATTAAGATTTGAAAAACTGAACAGCTGTCTGTTATGAAATCTTGTTATCTTCTTATGGGTCTTAAGATTAAAAGAAATCACTAAATTACTCTCATTATTTCAGTTTTAAAATGGTTTCTTTTATATCTTTGCCCGCACCATCGTTTTCTCCGTACCTAACTCTCTCCCACCTATCCCAAAGCTCCACCGTAGACACCTCTACTCATCACTATGTGCTTCTAAAGTACCTATATCATTGCGTGCCTTTTTTGTCGTTTCTTGTGTAAATTTGACTGGGTTATTATTCTTTCCAAAAATAAAAAATAAAAAAAATGACTCTGTTGTTGGTGGAATGTGATGCTTTTGATTTTAATTGGCATCCATGAATGATGGCCTTTGCTGAGAGAAAAATTGGGCATGACCTTCCACTGGAAACAGTGGAGTGATATTTTCTGATGTGTAGTGGTTATTGGTGTTGCTATTTGATTAATGCATATGTCGAGCCATAGCCTGTTGATTAGATGTGACTTGTATAGAGGTATAGCCATTTAATAAATGTTTGCACATAGGTTGATTTGGTTGATATTTATATGTGGATGAATTTCTGGATCATTTTCCCAAGAAATATGCTTGAAATCAAAGACTTGAATTTGTTTATATCGTTTATCTCAACGTGCAAAATGAGCTTAAGAATGTCGATTGGACGTAATCCCAGCTTAAGTTTTTGGACTTGGATCTAAAAGCCCCTAAAAAATCTCAGTTTAAACCTTTACCTCATTCATCTTTATAAATTATCTGTCCTCATTAATTGAAATAAACCCGGAGACCAATGTTGTCATTGACCATTGTCAAGTAACCTATATTTGCATTTACATTCACCAATCTTCATTTGTTTGATGGGTGCTTAGCTGATCACTGTGTTCTTGCTTAAGGATAACTTATTTTCTCTACCTGATGAAACAAATGTATTTACATTAGCTATGCATCAATACTTGGTCATGTAACAATTTTTTCAGATACGCTAAGTATTGTCTGATGTGCGGCTGCTTAGCAGTTACGATATTATTTCTTGTTATGCCCCAAAAATGACAATCGTGACATTGTTTATTCTACCTACAGGAAGACTCTGACTATGCAATTCGGACGTTCGATGTCCGTGCTGTGGTAAGTTCCTATTGTTAGAATACGATATTTAAAAAAATTGGTTTGTATATTTACCATATGTGTCAACTAAGAGTTGCTGGTCTAGCGGCCAGGCCCTTGGTTTTGCTCCCAAGTGGTTTGGGGTCCGACTCTCTCCCACGGTACCCACTGAGCAAAATGCTAGAGTTTCTCGCTCCCCAAATGTTGTGGGGTAAAGCAGGGGACCTTAGTGAATAGTTGGTCGTTTTATCCTTGTATTCATCTCAAAAGGGAAAATTTAATTTCTTGATCATGTGTAAAAAATTTCTGCAGCCAGCGGTGGCCTTCATCAAAGATGGGGAATGGGTGTCGAACTGTGTCGGTGCTAATATTGCACAATTGAAGTATACTTTTGAAGCTCTCTACGGGTAAATCTCCTCTCAACTGGGGTACTTTAAACTTGTGATCGTATATATGTGGGTGGTTTATCGAGGATTTTGTTTTTAATTTTAGCATGTCTTTACTATTTTTTACAGTCTATTTACGAAAGTGGTTTACCGAATTATCAGTTATTTGCTAACTCTGTATGTTTGAATTTTCTGATCTAGTGAACATCCCATTGAAAGGCCACCATACCTCGATAGGATTCATGTCTAACATACGGTCCGCGTCAGCGTAGTAAGATGGTGATGACAACACGACTCGAAACAAGGCGATATTTGGGGACCTACCAGTCCTTTCGTTTTTCCTCTTACACACTCTTATTCAATTCTAAGTTTTTGTTCAAATTTCTAAGTTTTTAAAGAATATATATGAGCTACAAGTCCTTTGTGTGTGTGGTTTGGAGTCTAAATAAGGGAACTGATTCTCGTACCTCTTTTTCCTCGTCCACACTCTTGGTCATTTCTAAGAGATTTATACAATCAAAATCAGAGGGGAGAAAAGTGGTGTGTGGAATTCACTCCCCTAAATAATTACATTATGTATCAACATCATATGGATGAATTTGTTGTGTGAGGTGTCCTTATGTTTGGCTTGTAAAAATGATTGTAGAATGCATCATCTCATACCTTTGTCCTTTCAATATCATCTCAACTCTCAAGAATGATTGTATAATGCACCATGTCATACTTAGGTAATACACGTATACAACTAATAAACTTAATGAGATTATGTAAGGTATTTCTAAAATCATTAGAACAACAAGACATCACAAGATCACAGATATGATAAACCAAATTAACATGATAAATAAATAAATAAACTTATCTGTCGAGGAGGAAGAAGAAAAAGCCTTGACTTCTAGGGTTTCGAAAGGTGTCTTCTAAGCAAGGACAACCTGTATATCGTGAAAAGTCTCCCGCTAATCCCTCTTATTGTTGATTAGTGGGGATTTTTCAAATCATAGGATAACATTAGAGTCCTAATTGATATTGATTTCTTGTCGAACCAAATAAGGCCTCTTGATTAGTTGTATGGAATAAGGATTCCAAATTTTAATTAAAACAAGATTTTATCATTTTTTTCAACACCAATTAACTCGTTGACCAAGTTAATTGATTGCTAAGAAATCTGTAAATCATATTCATTGATACTCACAATCTTAAGGCTCCAGATCTGCTGTCCCGTATTTCATGTCTCATTTGTGTCTCATGTTTAATTTTATGACAAGTGTCTCTTACTTTACACCCACATCTAACACTGTTAAGTTAACTTAACAAAAACACTGTTACCTTTTTATAAAATTCTTGAAAAATAAAAATATTAAAGAAAGCTACTCTGGAGACCCACCCCAAGACTTTTCATCTCTCTTTCTCTCTCATCTGGGAATTCTTGTGTTGGACTGTGATTATTCAAACGACGGTTCCGATGAGGGGTGCTGTCAAGCACAAATTCTCCAAAAAAATCAAAGAACTGCATACCATTGCTATCATGATTGATCAAATCTGAAAAAAAGAAACGAAAAAAATCAGAGCTTCGATCATAATAAGTTACATGGATGGACATATAATTACATGTCCGTGATGTGGATGGTTCCCACGTTGACACGTGTGGAAAACTCCATCCCACATCCACGTGGGGAATGAACAGAAACTTGATCAACATTGTTAAAGTGGCGCTAATACGAAATTAGGGTAGGCCTGCATAGTCGAGAGAAGGAGGATAAGGGAGGTATTTGTTGATTTGTCCTTAAACTTAAATTTTAGCCGATATTTTTTTTGAACATTTTTAATTAGTTAATTTTCCTTTTGAATTTTAATTTTAGCAGATTACCCTATTGAACTTTAATAAATAGCCAATCCCCCCTAGCGTTAGATTTTGAAAACTTTCATTCAATTTTTCATCCTTTTTGCCCTCATGCAGTTGTCATGTGTTGTTTCCATGATCAAGATTGATGGAAAATTGGATGAAAATTTTTAAAATCTAAAGCCAAGGGGGGAAATTAACTATTTATAAAAGTTCAAGAGAGTTAGGCCTGGTTTGGTACTAAGGGGATTCTGAAAAAAAACTGGTATAAAAAAAAGATGGGAGTTTTTTTGTGTTTGGTAAACATTCAGCTTCAGTTTTTTTTCACAGTTTTGGGTGAAAAAAAAACAAAAAACAAGAAGCTGCAAAGCCCAGCTTTGAAAAACCGGTTTTTTTCACATCTGTTTTACATAAAAGTTTACCAAACACTATAATACTGCTTTTTTTTTTTCAAAAACATTTTTACAAAAAAGTTTACCAAACACTCTACAACTTTATTTCACAGCCGCTTATTCTCACAGCACATCAAAAGCAACTTTTTTTCAAAGCACAACAATACCAAACCAGCCCTTAATTAAAGTTCAAGGGAGAAATTGGCTAATTATAAAAGTTCAAGAAGGTAATCGGCTAAAATTAAAGTTCAATAGGAAATTGGCAGCTTCATACAAGTTCAGGGGATCCCTACTTTACATTACAATCATAACGCATTCATTTCCCATTATTTAATTCTAGTTTGGTTCAATGTTTTGGCTTAATTAGTTCATGAGAAATGCTAACGTGTCTCTTTAAAGTAGGATTGTCTTGGGACTATCTGTCATCTCACAATTTAAGATCAATTCTCTTGACAACATTATCGTATTTGTACCAACCCTCTAATAAGAGTAAGGCCCACCAACAAAGGTGGATCTCATTTTTGTTAAAAATATTGTATGAAAAATGTGATAAGAGTAACATAAAAAATAGTTTAGTTTTTATTGCGGAAGCAGATGTCTTTACTATTTTTCAAAAAATAGTTTTCCTCATTTATCTTTATAAATTATTTGTCCTCATTAATTGAAATAAAGTCGGAGACCAATGTTGTCATTGACCGGAAAGAGATCATCTCTGGATCTCTTTCACCAAAGCCCACGGATAAAGTGATCCAGACCTTTGAAATTTGATCCAACGGCTAAAAACAGAGGCTCCTTTTAAAAGATATAATAATTTTAGCCATTGGATCAAATGTATTTACATTAGCTATGCATCAATACTTGTTCATGCAATAATTTTTTTTCAAAATACGCTAATTATTATCTGACATGCAGCTGCTTTGCAATTACGATATTATTTCTTGTTATGTCCCAAAAATGATAGTCGTGACATTGTTTATTCCTTCAGGAAGACTCGGAAGATGCAATGCGGACATTCAATATCCGTGCTGTGGTAAGTTCCCATGTGGTTTGAGGTCCGACTCTCTCCCACAGTACTCACCGAGCAAAATGTCCTCTCAACCGGGTACTTTAAACTTGTGACCATATATATATATATATATATATATATTTGCAGGCTTGCAACTATCACGACTCCAACGAGCCTCACCAAGTTTACAATGGGTTTGCACGCCTGTAAAGCTCCCTCTTCCTCTTTCCTTCCCTCCATTTTTTTTTCTTATAAGTTTCGTGCTAACACCAATTTGTACATCGATGAAATAGGAGCAGCTAGATTTTGAACAACTATTTATATGTATGTAGAGTTGTCAACAACTATTATGTACATTTTATAAATACTTTGTACATGTTTTGTATAAGTACTTTTTACATATTTACACACAATGGTTACAACACATTTAGTTCCTCATTCTAACACATAAGACGCTTATAATTAAGTTTTATTGCGGAAACAAATGTCTTTACTATTTTTCAAAAGGAATTTTGTATTAAGTGAATTCTTCACATTCTACAAAGGGAACTAACCACCTATGTGAAACTTGCTACTTTTGACAAATTCACTCGTTTGACTATAGACATACTGAGTAAAATAACCATTAGCAAGTTTATAATTCTTTTGAGTGCCAAATTTCATTACGCCATACCATCCAAATCCGTTAACAGATCTGCCATAACTGAACTATGAAGTTTGGTTCTCCCCATCTCATAATCAACAACCTATTTCTCATCTTCATAAACTTTTGTCGTAGTTTTTGCGATAGTCGATCCGCTTCCAATTGTGACAATATCTTCAGATTCCTCCCAACTAGTACACCAGATGAGAAAATCCAAAAAATAAGGCATGCCGTGCTATATAACGCATACATCAAATTCAAACGTTGCGCGTGTGTGTCTATCTGTGTTGTAAACAAGGGGTATCCCCATTTACTATTACAGTAAAGGGATCAGGGGTGGCTCAACCACTCACTTTGAAGGATCCAATTCATACATCATCCTCATAAAAATCAACTAAATCCGAAATCATTTAGTCATCTAATAATAAAACAAATAAACGAACACAGTGATTTTACAAAAACGCTAAAATGTTCCTGAGAGCACGAGTAAACAAAATACATCCTCATGCTTGTGTGTGTGTGTAATTAAAAAGCTTGCGCCGAATAATAATAATCACATTTGAAGAACTGTCTTCAACTAAAAAATATCTATTGGGGGCACCAACTGATGACCACATTCATAAATACAAAAGGTACACACATGTTTAGTAGTAACTAGAAGAGAATTATTCAACCAATAAGAAAAACAAGAGAATTACCCGTAGTGATATGCCAATGTATCTCTCAAGCCAACGACGTCAGCACCAACCACTTCATCTACCATTTCCCCACGTTCATAGAAAAAAAACATTGGCTGCATCCACAAAATGTAATTTCGGATATTTAGATGAAAGCAAGCCCAAATTATATTCAACCAGATTGAACAAACGAATTAGCTCTTCCAAACAAGGAATTATACCTATTTTGAAAACAAAATAAACGCAAAAGTGCTAGACTGGAAGGTGGAGCAAAATGGACACTGAAATTGAAAACCGATAAAAGGATAATACCACTTACCAAAGTTGTGAAATGAAATGGGCCTATTGTACGTCCAATGTAATCCTATACAAGGAATGGAACAACGCTTAAGTGGGTCTACTATCTTTCATCCATAGCAACAAGTAATGTCATAATTCTATAAACAGCTGCAGTCGGACCGTCATTAAAGTCTACTGGCTTTCTAACGCAACAAGATATACAACAACAACAAAGCCTTTTCCCACTAAGTGGGGTCGGCTTTTATATGAATCCTAGAATGCCATTGCGCTCGGTTTTGTGTCATGTCCTCCGTTAGATCCAAGTACTCAAGTATTTTCTTAGGGTCTCTTCCAAAGTTTTCCTAGGTCTTCCGCAACAAGATATAAAATCATAATTCTATAAAAGGCTGCAAGCCAGATGATAATTAGAATATGGAAAAAGAAAATTACTACATGAGAAACTAATCTGCTCCTGTAGAATCTGCTTCCTTATCAAGTAACCACTCTCTCATGAGCTGACGCCTGTAAATTAGGAAGAACTTTTCCTTTCCAAATTGGACGAAAGGACCCAGAAATATCAAAATTGGGTGCTATTCATTTTTTTTTTTTTCAAAGTCGGTAAAAAGATCGTGTGTTCAAATACACCCCCATCCAGGAGCCAGGTTTAAAATTCAACAGATTAGAGTATTCCTAGTTTCTTATGAAGTAGATGCAGTTTACAGATGTAGTCAGCAGGTTCATTGTCTTTGACTCTCTCTATATTATATTACAAAATCAATACATCAGGTGCCATAAAATAATCTTCAGAATTCCATAGTGTATTAATGTGGATCTTTCCCAGACTCTGCCTATAAAAGGGGCTACTTTGTGGATTTCCAGTTAGGGTGAGGCACAGGTTCACTGTGAGTGACTCTAAAGCACCTTCAGTGTACTGCCGAAGGCCGGCATGATGCCAGAAATTTCTAAATTCTCTGATATACCTTTAGCATGATGCCAAAGGTCGGAGTAATTCCAGATACCTCGTATGTTCCTATCTATTCCTACTATCCTCAAATAAATACAATAACGTATTAATCTTAAGAACCACGATTATACTTAAATGAAAACACATTAGTTGTCCGCGCCTTAATCTTAAGTTCAAACTTGAAACAGTAAATATAAAACTAGACTTAAAAATGGGTTCATGACAATAAATAATCAAAGTTAACAGAAGACCAGTTGAGTTTACAATGCTAGACCTTGGGAAGGACCATCTCATATATTGTCACATGTGGGAACTGCCCGCTAAAATTGATAAGGACTGAATCGACAAGCTTCCTCTCTGCACAAGAGCACAGACCAAAATCGATAGCAAGTCAATTGGTAAACGAGTATCCGTTTGAACCAAACCAAAACACACCCCATAGAGAATAAATTCAGTACAACTTACTAGGACGACGGCGCCCAGTCATGTAGAAAACTGCTGACAAACCCCTAACTATCCGAACGAATTAAAAAGAAACAATAATTAGAGAATGCGAGTCACAGTGAGTGTGTCCTATAAGAAACAAACAATTAAAGAAATTTACAAGAAATATTTCGAATGTCGCGATCAAGCTTATCCGGTGATGTAAGGATAACATGAGAGGGACCTGAAATGAATATAAATATTTGTGAAAACACTACCATCGACAACAACAGAAACAAAAAACAAAAAAACAAAAACTGCGTGGGATCGAACCTCATCGATGACTAATCTAACAAACTTTTGACAAAAAAAAAAAGGGTGCACCGGGCCGAGAGTGGGGAAGTACCTGTGGGTGGATGCAGAGGCCGGCCATACACAATTTCTTTCGCAAATTCATGAAGGTTGTAAATGTTGAAGGGGCTTTCTTTAGTGGAAGGAGTTGACTCTGGTGATGATAATCTGGCCGAAATTAGGGTTTGGGTTTGGATAAAATTGCAAGGACGCTGCTGCTGCTTCAGATGATGGAGAAGACCTCGGCAGGGATTGTTGCGATTGCTAAGCAACTGTCCTACTACCCTCGCCATTTTCTTCCCTCGATCGCTTCCTTGTGTCTAAATTTTATTTAATTTTTTTTTTCGGTCGGCTGTCGCTCCGTTTTTGGTTCTTGTATCCCTTTGCGTTTAGGGCTTCAACTCTCAACACGATAACCGACCACATATCTAGGATATGCTATCTAGGGGTGGGCACTCGAACCGAAAATCAAAACCGAAATCGAAACACGAATCGAATCAAACTGCACTAAACCGTTTGGTTTTACGGTTTTGAAACGGTTTCGGTTTCAAAACCAGACCGCGGCACACAAAACGATTTAGTTTCGGTTTTGGGTTTTCGAAACCACACCGAAACCGAAACCACACCATATAATAAATAAATGTTATATAACTTATATTTTCAACTTTTCAACTAGGTTATAACTTATAGATTTGGTTTTGCGGTGGGTTTGCACTTCGACTCCACTGCTTCTGCTTGCATCTTTACTTCTGCCTTTGCGACTGCAAGTCTGCGACCTCAACTCTGCAAATCACTGCCTCTGCGACTGCCTGCTTGCATCTCTGCCTCTGCGACTACGACCTCACTGAGTCATTGCTTGCCTTGCATGCCCATTGCCTAGATCCCCTTCATCTGCAAGCCCTAATCTAATCTCTGCAAATCAAAAGCTCAGCAATATGGTAAGAACTTAGAACTTAGAACTTGTATCATTCATCATTATGCAATATTTGATCTATATATATATATATAGCTAGTAGTACTAATTCCTCCGCCCCTGCTTCACCACCTCTTGCTGCCGCTGCCACAACGCCTGTTCCGCATCGTTCGATTAATGCCACCACGCCTTTCCCCTCCTGCCAATTAATGCCACCATGTTGGTTTAATATTTGGCACTTTAATTAGAGAATAAAAATATGTATCTCCATTCTCAAGTAGTAATACCTACTCCTTAATTTGTTGAATGAATGGTAATTTTATTTGGGCATTTCTTATATGTTTCGCAAAGGTCGAGTTTAATTCCATGTTCCCTCTATTTGGTATTGAAGTCTAGTAACCTGATAACTAAGAGATGGGCGGGCATGCTTATAGAAAATTCTAGGATGTTGTTGAATACTTTCAGTGCGTCGAACGTCTCTTATATATGTCCAGTAGGCAAGCTAATAGTGTGGTACATAAAAACTGGTAGATAAAGTTCATAACTTTGACATTAGAGATGAATGTATAGCCACCAGTACTTAATCAGATAAGTGCAAAATGAGATTATGTAAAGTGAACTCAAGGTAATCATGCATAGAAATGCACTATGTGTTTTGCTCGAGCTTGCTTGATTTGGTGTGGATGTAGTCATGTGAATGACATTATGACAGTGGCTTTTTATGCAGTTTTGCTGCTTGTTTTTTTTTTTTTTTTTTTTGGCAGTTTTGACTCTTTTTTGCTGTAATTTTACTGTATATTCATTAATTAATATACGAGGAAAATAAGACCGTCTTATGCATAAATAGGTGTATATTTTAAATTGTACATTTTTTTTCTCAAAAACCAAACCGAAACCATTTGAAACCGCACCGCACCGAACCGAACGGTTTGGTTTCATTTCGGTTTTGGCTTCAAAACTGCACCGCACCGTAAAATGTTTCGGTTTCGGTTGTGGTTTCACTCAAAACCACACCAAACTGCACCGTGCCCACCCCTAATGCTATCCACACTCTTTTTTACTTTCTATACACCTTATTAATTTACAATCATCAGATCAATTGAATTAAAAAAGATCAAATGACAGAAATTAACAAGAGATATGTGAGAAAGCAGTGTGTGAATAGCACACTCCCATATCAAATTATTGATCATTAAATGGGTTGAACGGGTTGGGATGGGTCGGGTCAGGTCGGATTATCTTATCCAAAACATTTATTTTTAACATTTGACCGTCTTCGTCATAAAATGTCAATTCCTTTAAGAATATACGTTCATCTTTGGTCACAACTCAAAGTGTCAATTATTTCCAATTTGGCTAATTTCTCGTAGGGATTAGAGACGATACTAGAGGAAGGATTCAATAGGTATTCCTCAATACCCCTAAAATCCAACTTTGGTCTCACTTTACTTTATGAAACTCAATTATAGTTTAACTTTGCCCCATCAAATTCAAAATGACTATTTATCATAAAAAGCTAAAATTTAATACTCAATTTCATAAATCAAATTTTTATAAATAATTTCTAATTTAGCCAAATCTACACTCGAAAAGACTCAAATACCCAGTAAAAAAAATATAAACCTTAAAGTTTAAACCCTCTTAGACAACAGTATGAAATTGTGGTGATTCATTCACCAACAACAAAGTATGCAACTTTTGCAAGCTGATGAATGGATCTGGATTCATTGGGTAAAAATTGTTACCGATGTGTATGAGCCTATTAATTCTGATCATAATTGTTTTTTATCCTAGCAAAGAAATAAAGCTCCCTTTGATCCAATACCCACCCATACCGCATTCAGAGCAACTGAATTCTATGGCCTATCCCCGGAAAAATTGTCGGCAACTGGATTCCAAGAATTTGATTCGGCTTTGGTGGGAAAGAAAATTACGAAAACCTGCATCAATAATAACTCATATAGCAAGGTTGGAATTACAACCCATGAAAGAGGCAGGGTTACTATTGTTAGTATTTTAGATATTTCCATGCTGTGTGTGTGTGTGTTTTTTTTTTTTTTAATTTTTTTGTGGACAAAAGATATTTCCATGGTGTTGAAACTTACTTTTCAGTAATCAAGTCAGTTTTTTACGGTGACAACCAAATAGTATGGGAACTTCAAGGATTTTTGGTGTAGTGTAGTTTGGTTTTAATTTTTTGGGCATTTAAGCCTATTCAAGTACATTTTTTGTTATAATTGATAGTTTTTTTTTTTTTTTTTTTTTTTTTTTTTTTTTTTTTTTTTTTATAAAAACTCACATTTTTGAAATCGAAGTGTAAATTTTGGCAAGATATGATAAATTTTCACTCAAAATGTCTCTCTTAACCCCTAAATGCCAACTTTGTGTCTCACTTTACCCCATTTCATTAATTTTGCTAATTTTGCTAAACCATCTAATGTTTCAAAGTGAGACCCATTAATTTGATGGAGTCCTGCTCTCCTAAGGTCCTCATTTTGAGGAGGATGTGTGAGGTCTGTTGATGCACAAAACTAGAGGGGTCTTGGAACAACGTAAATCCGACCGTGAATCTGCAAGAAAGTAAATAACACAAGATGTATCGTGGTTCACCCCAATGTTTGGGCTACGTCCACACTAATTATTGTATTTCTGTGTGAGGATGAGAGCGATGAGAGGGAGAGAGAGCTTCCTTATGTGATGATGAGCTTTTCTGAATATGAGAGGGGATGTGAGGCTCTCTTCCATTGTGAGGGTGAGGAGTCCCCTTTATAGAATAAGGGCTCCTCACTTATTACATATTTGCCCCTTCCTTTATTACATAATTACATTTGAGTCCCTCGAGTATTTATACGAGATCTAAATACGGAGGCCCTAAGTATGGTACAAACAGTAGTCCCCCAAGTTTTCAGTCAAGAGAGTCTTTTGGCTGGAGACTTGAAATTCAGTCCATGTGTAGGCCGAAGTAACTAGATGTCGTCTAGAATTGATATTCGATATGAGGCAGTGCTCAATGTGAAATGATGCTCAACTAGAAGTAGCACATGTTGCGAGGTTGCTCGGCTTGTGGCTTATGTTGCCTTGGTTGGCTCGGCTTGTGGCGTTGAAGGTGAGGGGGTCCATTTTATAGAATAAGGGATTGCTCCTCAATACATAAGTGATGGGCTAAGAGTTGATGCTCGCAGCGAGGCGGTTGCTCAGTAGGCGGCGATGCTCTCTAATGATGGTGAGGGAGTCCCTTTTATAGAGTAAGGGCTCGCTCATCAATATATAAGTGAGGGGTTAGGAGTGATGCTCGCGGTGAGCCGGTTGCTCATCTGGCGGCGATGCTCTCTAATGAAGGTGAGAGAGTCCCTTTTATAAAATAAGGACTCGCTCCTCAGTACATGAATAATAGGTCCTCTCTAATGAAAGTGAGGGAGTCCCTTTTATAGAATAAGGGCTCGCTCCTCAGTACATAGATAATGGGCTAAGTCCCCCAAGTATTTTTCATGAGGCCCAGTTGAGGCCCAATATATGGTACATAATGTAGTCCCCCAAGACTTCGGTCAATAGAGTGTGTTAGCTGGAGACTTCAAATTGAATCCATGTATGGGTCGAAGTGGTGGTTGTTCGAAGATGGTATTTGTATACCTTGCACTGAAGCTTTGTAGGTGAAGCTTTGCAAGTGAAGCTTTGTAGGTGAAGTTTTGTAAATGAAGCTTTTGAAGTTGGAGCTCTGTAGATGAAGCTTTTGAAGCTAGAGCTCTGTAAATGAAGCTTTTGAAGCTAGAGATTTGTAAATGAAGCTTTCGAAGCTAGAGCTCTGTAAATGAAGCTTTTGAAGCTAGAGCTTTTGTAAATGAAGCTTTTGAAGCTATAGCTTTTGTAAATGAAGCTTTCGAAGCTAGAACTCTGTAAATGAAGCTTTCCACGTGGGATGGTTGCTAGTTTCTGTATGTAGTATAGCAACATTTTTGTTGATCTCGGTTAGACATACTGTTTTAGTTTAAGGAATCAAAGTTGAATTAATTTAAGGGGGCCCATGAGATTCTCCCACCAACCTTTTTTATTCAAAGATGGTCACATATTAAGAATGAGCAATGCTGCGAACTACTGGCTGAGTTGCTATAAAGTTGAATTAATTTAGAGTAGGGCTATTTACACATTTATTGTCACATTTATTTTCACTTTTTGCATATTGTTTTTCAATTTTTTTCCGTTTGATCAAATGATTAGCAGAAAATCAATAGACAACCATTAACAAGGGTGTGTGGGAGGTTAAAAGGGGTGTGTAGATTGCACCATACTTAACTAAATGGGAGTCAATTTACCCTTATGCCCATTCTTTGCTTTAGATTTCTCCTCCCGTTTTGCACTTCTTCTTCTTTTTTAGGAGAATGACTTACATGAAACGTAATGCATATACTAAGATGTTGACAAATGTAAAGCTAAGATGATGACACTTGTCCTTTTGTAATTGAATGAGTTAGTTGTGATTGTAGTTAGTTAGAGGGAGATTGTTAGAAGGCAATAT